CCCCTTCTTGTGTGCACCTTTAATGAGCATGTAGCTGGCGGCCAGACGTTTGTGCAGGAAGCCGACGTAGGACTGGATGATCTCCTGCAGAAGCACCACATCAGGGGCGTGTCTGCCAGGAGAGAAGGTGAACGTTCAGCTCTTTAGTTTGTGCGAACTGAGCCTTTTATGCAGTAGCGTGGACTTACGAGGTCAGGTAGGAGCAGAGGCCTCGGGCTCTCTCCGGCTGCTCCTCAGCATCCAGTCCGTCCACATTCCAGGTGATCAGGGACAGTTTGCCTCCTCTGAGTCTCCTCTCTGGTCTCTGCAGCCCTTCAACAGCCTCGTTAGTGCTGCAGGAGTTCTAATAAGGATGACTTAGGTGTACAGTATTTACCTGTCTTCTTTGTCTCCTCCCTCCTTTCTGGCTGTGGTGGAGCCGCTGTCCTCCTTCTCTGGTGCAGCACAGTCTCCCTCCATGTCAGTCAGACAGAAGCTCCAGCTCATCCCAGCCTGCAGGACTGGACCTCAGCCTGCAGAGTCATCTGAGGGTCTGGACCTTCAGTTTCATTTTCCCCAAAACAGGTCACATAATATCTGGAGATTATCTGGAGTTTCATTGGCTATAATAGTCCCTCCCATCATAAATTCAACAGTATCACAAAGAGCCCCATCATGAAGTGCTTAAAAGGTGATCAGTGAAATATTAAAATGTACTCAGAGAGAGGCCAGATGTGGAGGACTTGTCTTCCTGAACTAGTTTAAAGCTGTGCAGCAGCATTTTGCAACACGTGACAATATAAAAACATGTATAAAGTGCTTAAAATCAGCATGCTTGCTCCAAAAATCTGCCTGTAGGACAGATTTAGTGTCAGTTTTGAGCCCAAAATAGGAACGTTTTCCTAATAAAATCTGTCTAGGGCCATGGTATGTAAATTTGTTTAATGTATATATAATCTTATTTATAAAGCAAATACACTTTTAAAAAATGGACAGAGCACAAACTATTATTATTATTATTATTATTATTATTATTATTATTATTACTGTTATTAATTTTATTCTGTCCCATTTCATACAGGCGGAACCTTTGAACTGCGCTTTTGTTTGACGTCGGTGTGGGAACCTGTAACTGTCAACAGGAAAGAGCGGGGGAGCAGCAAACATTGGTACTTTAAACGCACTAATACTCTTCTTTTTCATATTTATCATGTCTCTACACGTTTAATGAGCTGTTGTCGTAGAACAAAGACTTAATTACATTTATTTAGCTCAAAAAACTAACTTAAGTTGACGCCCGTCGTTGATATAGCAGCTCGAAGCTAGCTAAACTCCCGCAAATTAGAAATAAAGTGCGGATTTTTGCTATAAATGCGCATTTTGTGTAACCGATATCGTCGCCGAGTTTAAGAATTGCCCCTAAAGAAGCATTTTGATCTTAATTTTAAGTTGTTACTCAATTATATTTAATGACTTGCAAAGGAAATTTAAAAGTAGGTGTTTTTTAAATGAAGTTTGGTTTGATGTTCTGTCGTTACCGGGTTACTTTCCCCCTTGAAGTAGCCAACCAAACACGGTTCAAACACTTTCAGCTTTTTGATAACACAAACCTAATTATCAATACTCTTACTTGCGTCAGTGCTGCGTCTGTTTTTGTTGTTGTTTTCACAGCTTTATATTTTACTCCAGTGTAAAAAAACACATTACATTCATCTTTGCGTCTCCACCGCAGACCTCTCCTCTTTCACATTTTTTTCCAATAAATTTGAATAGTATACTGGAGGAATGGTAGCGGAATTAAAGAGTAACTTCTAGAGATATAGAAAAACTTTTCAATAATATGATTTCCCCGACGAATGTGTGCTGAGAAGCAAGGGGAGTTTAAATTTAGAAGTTTGTGAATGGACTTTGGTGTGAGCAGAGAACTGAGCATTTTGGAACATTTTCAGAGGATTGCAGCCAATTTGATGGTGTTTGTCCCCTGAACAGGGACCTACTAAATGTTCCTGTTGGTCTTTACCAGATGCTCAGCGCTCTCCCACATGTTTCCTGTGATCTGGTCAAGTTTAGAGCATCAAACTCTTCATTTCCTTCATGCTGGTGAATTTTTATGCACCAATTTTTCTTATTTCTGTCATTTTATCGTGCAAATGTCTTCAATTATGTAAAAGAAAACAGCAAATGCAGGTCCCAGGTGACAATTCAAAATGTTTTGGAACATTATTTGTTGTCAATACGATATTTTACTTTAATTTTTTACTCATTTTTTATTTTTAGATGTAGTTTTGTATCCTATTCCAACCACCACATGGCTCCTACTACCATCGTACAGTTGTTCTGCTCTACGTGCCTTTAATTGGGGACAAATAAACGTATTTTTTAAATTGAATTTAAGTGAAAACAAAAGCTCTCAGGCGTTCTGTGTTGCTCTCAGATAACGATCAGGTTTTCTTATTTGTCTGCTGAGTCACCACACATCGACTGGATTTACTGTGTGGTGCGCTTTACCTCGGCGTGAGTCAACCTCTGTAACTTGTGCTGCTTTTCAAATTGTGACTGACGAGAAATACCTTGTTTCTTTCCCCGAAAACAGGAGCTGCGTCTGCGGTGTCCCTCCTGCGAGGTGGTGATTATGCGGCTTCTGTAAAAAGACGCGGCTTCGACAGATCTCGGTCCAGGCTTTTGGGGGGCTCATTCCTCAGAGGTGAGCGATTATAAAAAACACTCCAATTACACCGCGCTTTCAGGGGCGTGGGCGTCCGTTGGCATCCACTTCCACAAACGGCAGCTTCTGCTTCGACCCACAAATTGAGGCTGTAAAACGCATGTGATTCTGAATCGTGAGGTTCGCTTGAAAACAGCCCCGAAAATATCGCAGCAGAGAAACGACACGACTGCAGCTCAGATGTGGAAGTTATTTCTGATATTACGTTGCAGGAGCTTCAATTGAAAACATTTTCATTGCTTTTTAATTCATCTTTAAAGTACCTTGTAACTGTGCTGGAAGGTGCTTTTTAAATAAAGTTATTTTTACTATTCAAGTTCTGCACTAGAGTCGATGTTTGAGGTGCTTTAGCGTTTTATACGACGTCCTACTTCTGACAACTTCACTCGTTTTAAGATGCACATTTTGCACAACGAACACTCGAACAATCTTTAAACATGCAACACAGATTAAACCTTTTTTTCTTCTTCTAAGAAGCTGCACCAAAACAGTGATTTTCTCTTTTAAACTTCCCACTTATCTCAACAAATAAGCAAAAAACAAATCCAGCATCTCAGCAGAACCAAGAGATCAGAGTAAAATTGAAAACAGATTTCTGCGTCACTTTTTTCTTCTTTCCTCAGATTAATCCCTGAATGTGAAACGAGGCGGTTCAGGTTTCCAGCAGCTACAACAGAAACATGCTGCCGACACACAGACGCTATTAATAATCTAATGATGTCATATTTAATAACACATCAGTCGGAGCCGAGGCGCTGTGAGCACCTCGGACGGCTTTTCCCAGAAATCTGCACTTTTTTTTTTGCACCATCTTCAAGTTATTTCGGGGTGAAATAAATATAAAACGTGACACACCGGCGGCGTAAAGTCATCCCACTGTGCTTCTATGTTTAGGCCGTGATCCGCATTAGTGATTGCAGGTTAGCCGGACCGGCGGTTCTGCATCTGTGTGCCTTGGAATTAGTCTCATTTGTGATGATTCACATAAAATCGTATGGAAACGCGTTCTCTGTGACCAAAGAAAACACCAAGCGAGAGCACAGTTTCCGACTTCTAGCGAGTGAAGCTGGCATCCTATAGGTTAGAGCTGGTTTTACTCTTTGAATATTAGTTTTATTTATTAGGGATTCAGTGGATGGACTCTTTAAGTAAGTCAAGAGAAGAGATGCAGGTGAGGAGAGGAAGTTCAGCTCCAAATTAAAAGCTGAAATCCAACAAAAACCCTGAAAATTCTCCTGTAAAGTTTGTTCTCATGTATACTGGCCGCCTGTTGCTGTGTTTTGGTTGATTTACTGATTAGAAGTAGTTCTGGGAAGCATTCATACACTGAAAATTGTCACTTCATCAATAGAAAACTGAAAAAATCCTGTGACTTCTGCAGAAGAATCCAGACGGCTGCTCTGCTTCCACCTCCTCCAGTCTTCAGTGCAATTATTAAAAATGATTCTTATTCTTCTTAAACAGTAAAGAATGATCCGATGGTATTTATGAATCAATCTGCTTCATTTTCAGAAGCTCAGAAAACTAAAACTGCTTCATTTTAACCGTTTACCTGCAGGTTCTTCTACAAAAGCGTTGATTTTTTCACTTTAACTTGTAATGAAGCTTTTTAATTTTGATGTGTTTTTACGCTCAATTAAAGGATCTGAATATTTCTTCCACACTTTAAAAGATAATAGAACCACAAACAATTTATTCAACAGTGTTTTTTAGTTTATGACAACTTCTAGTGTTTCATTTTTAACCATGAAACTCCAGCGTGTGCAGATATTACGTGTTCCTCTGCAGTAGTTTTAATTATTAGAATGAAATTCAGGCAAAAATCGAGAACGAGTCCTGAAATGTGAAACTCAATTTGAAGAAAAGCGAACGCATCAGGCCGATTTTATTACCTCGACTTTAATGAAGTTTTAAATCAAGTGACGCAGAAATGCAGGTTCAACTTACACATTAAATTTAGTTTAACAACCTTTAAAATGATGTTTGCAACTTAAAACGTTTGTGTAAATCATTAAATCAGATTTTTTATTTCTATCTTGCACTCATGCGTTTAATTAAGTTATTTAAATGACTTCTCAGATTAATAAAAGCAGCGTTTTAGAGGAGAGATTCCTCTTGAGAAATCTAGATTGAAGTTGTTGTTTTGTAGGTTGAACAATCAGTCGGTTCAGCAGTGAGGGTGAAGTCTGGTTCTGGTGCGTCTCCTTCCTGCTCTAGGTGTGGTTTTAATCCCCTGGTTGGTCTGATGGAGGCGAGTGGAGCTCCTGCCGAGGACGTCCTCCTCCAGCGTCCCTGGCTGCCGGTGAGCATCAGCGGCTGCCGGCTGCTCAACAAGAGCTGGTTCGGTGACACGGCGTACCGCCTCCTGCTGACCGACATGCAGAGCGTCTGGGAGGAGAGGATGGACGCCGCCGACATCCAGAACCGAGCTCAGGTACAAACTGAGTGAGCAGTGGCTCCGGGAGGGGCTCAAACCTAAAAACTGTTCTTACAAGTCAGGTTTTCAGGATTTCATGCTGCATTTTCTTACTTTCAAAGTTAACAGCAGCCAGAAAATTACTTTTTTTTGACTCGACAGGTGTTAAATTACATTCTGTGGGTTTAAACTTTCTGTGTTTTTTGCTGTGAGCTCATTTCTCATGACAGGATAAAGTCCTGCACCTTCACGGAAACAGAAGAAAACTAAAATCATGACCGTGTTTCGCCCATTTCAGCTTTTTGTGCGTTGATCGTTGGTTGCCGCTGAGTCCACCGCGGTTTGTTGTTTGAGCTAAAAACTGCAGAATCTTCCATCTTTCACAGAATTTGTTTACTGCAAACGTTTGGTTTTTAAAAAATTTTTAAACGAGAAAACGTATGTTTAATTTTTTGTGTTTCTTTGATTATTTATTTACAAAAACTGAGATGAGCACGTACAACATTTTCCCAGGTTCTGACAGGTGTTACCAGTCCTGGATAGAATAATCGTGACTCCACATACGACAGATTCATCACAACTTTATTTTGTTTTCTCCTCTCTGCTCTGCGTAGACGCTGCCTGCAGATCAGCCCAAAGTTCTCTGAAAGGCTTTTGGCTGCAGCCTTTCATGGAGTCTCAGTTGAATTTTTTCACTTTTTACGGAATCTGTTTTGTGCAAAAGTTAGTTCTTTGGGGAAGTTTTTAAATGAGACAAGAAGTAATTTCGATAAAATACGATGTAGCGGCACCGAGTAGTTCAAGGGCTGCTGAAAATCCAACGAGTCTTGATGTTTTTGCAGTTTCTGGGTCTAATAAATGTTGAATTTTGGGATTAAATAATAAAAAAAGGTTTAAATGACACCCTGCCTCTCAAACCTGCTTTCACATGTTGAGGTTTAGAGGGTTTAAAGTTCCCTGATAAACCTGCAGGAATTTATCTCCCTTTGAAATGTGCATTTTAAATCTGCCAGCCTCAGTAGCCTGAAGATAAAAGCCGTCCTTTTATTCAACTGCCATTCCCCTGAACACATGATGTTTTCTTCCACCAGGAGCTGAACCGGCGGCTGCGAGCTCCGGTCCAAGCCTTCTTCTCCCACCTGTGCGAGGTGGTTGAGCCCAGCCTGTCGGGCGCTGCAGGACGAGCGGGTCGCGAGGCTCAGATCTCCCTGAACCGACAGGACGACGGCGGCGTGAGCGTGAGACTGAAGAGCGAGCTGGCAGGGCTGCCCTTCTACTGGGAGTTCCGCTGCACCCCCGCCCCCGTGGCCTTGGTACGGTCCAGGCTTCAGGTCTGCAGCTCTGAGCGGACGGGAGGCTGCAGAGGGTTTTAACGTCTTGGTGGTGTTTCCAGGTGTGCGCCCAGCTGGTGCGCCCCCTGCTGGTGATGAGCCGCCTGCTGCAGCGACAGGTGGATCAGCTGGGAGGACTTCTGGTGAGGAAGGACGCAGAGATCCAGGACTACAGAGAGAACGGGGCGACGCTCAGCAGAGGTGATCTGAAGTTTTTCAATCTAAAGTCTTCATCTGCCATCATGTAAAGTGAGATGACGTATGCAAGACTTGACTTTAGACGTTGCAGAACAGGAAATGTTGCTGGAGATGAGATAAGAAGTTGCAGAACTGACATGAGAAGTTGCAGGACATGAGATAAGAAGTTGCAGGACATGACGAGAAGTTGTAGGAGGAGAAGTTGCAGGAGGAGAAGTTGCAGGAGGAGAAGTTGCAGGAGGAGAAGTTGCAGGACATGACATGAGAAGTTGCAGGAGGAGAAGTTGCAGGACATGAGATAAGAAGTTGCAGGAGGAGAAGTTGCGGGACACGACGTTAGAAGTTGCAGGAGGAAAAATTGCAGGACGTGAGAAATTGCAGGACATGAGAGGAGAAGTTGCAGGAGGAGAAGTTGCAGGACACGAGATGAGAAGTTGCAGGAGGAGAAGTTGCAGGAGGAGAAGTTGCAGAACAACTGTTTTTAAAGCACATTCAAGACAACAGTTTTTGCCTCTCCTAGTAAAAACATTACGACTTGTGTCTCCAAGTAACAGAACCAGAGCGTATCTTAGTGTCACTTATGTTGTGATTTAATGAGTAGTTTACATGTTAGGGATTTAAAGATGACATGAAATAGGACTTTACTTGACTGTAATTAAGGTTGAATGATTAATTAACAAGCTAGTGTTGTAAATACGACGCTGATGGATGTGTGTCTGTCTGAACCCAGAGCGGCTGCAGACGGACGCTTTTGTCGAGCAGACGTACAGAGACGACCTCGTGGCAAAGGTGAGCGGTCACGACACACAGACACACACTGAAGCGCCGCGACACGCCGATTTAACCGGATAAAGCTCGATCGAAGCCGCCACGACGGGTTTCAAAGCCGCCACGACGGGTTTCAAAGCCGCTACCGTCGGCCGGTCGGGACGAGGCGAGTTTTTAAAATGGTCTTGTGTGTGTTTGTTGTGTTCATGTGTGGAATTTGTCGTCTCTGACTCGTGCTCTGTCTGCGTTCGTGTTTGGGAATTTCAGATCCGCCCGTTGAATTTTTCGGGCGGCGTCTGCAGGTTCCCTCCCTGCTTGGTTTTATTTCAGCTTTTACAGCGTCCACCTCAGTTTAATCCTGAAGAAACTGCAGATTTTTCCACTTTTATAGCCTTAAAAATATGTTTTCCAAATGACATCCTGCAGGTAGAACTTAGGGAATGAATTAATAGTTCATCTAAATTGATAAAATTCCAGATTAATTGTGAATATGTGAACATAAAAAGCAGTGACGAGGCTCCACGTCTTCACAGATGTGCAACTCTGGACCTTTAATGCACACTTTTTTTTTGCACCCAATTGCTTTAAAAAGACGTTTCAGCAGCTGCCGAGCAGGAGTTTTAGTCTCTGCTTTGGTTTATTTTCAGACAGTAAGTGCAGCTTTACTCAGATGTTTAGTTCTTACTTATATATATGCGCTTATAAATCAGTTAAAAAGTGATTTGTGTCAGAAATAATCTGAAAAAGAAGGTTTCCTGACAACAAAACGGCAAAAATAAATAAACTGGAGGCTGCACATGATCCCGACTTTGACTAAAATAGCCGTTAAGTTATCGTCTATCTATTTCTGCTTTATGTATTTTCACAGACTGTAGCTGTAAACACACAAATCTGATTTAAAAGCATTTTTGTTCCTGATAAAAAACAAATATATGTATAACAGAGACTTAATATTTTCTTTGGAGCCACTAAAACATCACAGCACCGAGTTTTTCTGCACAGTTTCGGAGTTAAATGAGTTTTTCTTTCCAGTTTTCATCCACCAACAGTTGAGGAAAACGCTGGAGAGATGATGTGATTTATTGATGAATATTTACGAATCTAAGTTTTTTCTTTATTTCTGTGGAAACAGAGCAACATAAAGGAGAGAGAGCTGCCTTCAGTGCAGTACGACGCAGTTAGAATGACATAAAAAGAATAAAGAAAGTTAGATTTCTTTGAGTGTTTGTTGTACGAACATTTAAAAACCCTTTTGTCAACATGTACAATAGTTTTCTGAGTGCCACACTGCCTGCAGTTCAGCCGAAAAGTCACAGATTTGTTGTCGTGTGACTGTTGGTCTCAGCTGAGTCACTGATGTCTCCTCATTTGCACTGAGGAGCCCAGAATTTTTCCTTTTTTGCAGAATCTATTTAGTGACAGCGGTTTATTTTTGACAATTTTTTGAACGAGGCGTGTAGAATAAAGTGATTCTGATTAAATGCAACGATTTTCAGCCGAGCTTTGGTGAAGTTTATTTACAGAATCACAGCTTGTCTCTGCTTTTGCAGCTTCTAATGCTGAACAAACTGTGTGCTTTGGTGATTTTTTTAAGAAGATGTCTAATCTAGCAGCAGTTTTTGAGGTTCAGAGGGTTAAAAATTAAAAATAGCCGAACTTTGAGTGACCTTTGTTTCCCTCAGAAAAGAGCCATTGTTTCTAAAAGTGTGACTTCTGTGAAGGTCGTGGAGTTTTGTTTTGTGTTTTTAAAGGTCACGGGGAAGCTTCCCCTCCCAGGAGACTGTGCAGCGCCGCTCGGTTTCTCAGCTTGACTCATCGGCTGCGTCGCTCGGTGGTTTTTACGTCGGTGGGGGGAAAGTTTGTCGGCGTTGTTTGTCCATAAAACCAGGAAAGAATCACATTTTTAGTCGGTGGAAAAGCTCCAGCTCAGGTACGAGGAGTCATGGAAAGTTACATCAGGGCCACAGTGGCGGCTCTGTCTTCTGGCCCGTTGGTCGGAGATGGGGTCGCTGGACAGGGGAGGGCGGGCGGACAGTCAGGAACCACAGAAGAAGAAGAAGAAGGGGATCAAAGTCGTCCCTCTCGTGGCAAATTCCACCGAGCTGCGACGAGACCAAAAGTCCAGGCCGAGGTAAAGTGCGTCCGGGAGACATGTGGCGTTCGACGGCAGCGTGTGTGAACCGGGGAGGCGTTTAGCGTGTGCGTGCGGTATTTATCCGCGCACTCCTGTTTGTGTCCGTCTCCGTGGCAACGCTCATCATACCCCGAGCTCGCGTGTGATTGGCTCTGAGCGAGGAGCCGATCTGAGCGTTGGGCTGCACGTGTCGTTTGTGTTCCTGCAGGCCTTTAAAAGCATCGAATCTTTCCACAGAAACAGTTTTAACTTGTTTTGTGTTTGATTGTGGGACTACAAGTGGTTCGACAGCAGTGTTCGGATCACCGTTATTTATTAAAATCACTTCCTGATTTTAGGACAAAATGGTCGTTCTTGGGCTTTTTTTTCCACATTTTTGACTCGTTTTTAGCCGCAAAATAAAGTCCTGCAGCTCGATGGAAACAGAAATGTTTTCTGTGCATTATGGCAGTTATAATCATAAAAAAATAAAAACCAAGAAGCTACAGTTCTTCAAATATTTTTCAAAAATCATTTTACAAACACTCGCTGTAGATATTTTACTAATTATTTCTTAAATTTGCTTCCACACTGCCTGCAGTTCAACAGAAAAATGCCACGAATTTTTGTCCCGTCACCATCGGTCGCAGCTGAGTCACTAAAACCTTCACGTTTTCGTCGAGAAATGCAGAATTTTTACTTTTTCACAGAATCTACTTAAAGCAAAGCTCTGCTTTTTGACGTATTTTTGTTGATTTATTGTGTTTTTATGCGTAGTTTCCCCTGATGGATGAGTAGTTCAAGGACGGTTGGAAATCAGGGTTTTGGGGGTCAGTGGGTTGAATAAACACATATTCTGCCAAATGTTTGAGGCAAACAAAAACATGTTTAAGTCAGCAGAGCTTTCATTTTGCTGATTTACGGTGATTCGTTGAGGAAACGCTGCCAGATTCAGTCCCATCACATGAATGTTGAGATCAGAGCTGCAGGTACAACACAGTCTGGATCCTGTTCTTGTTTAAAAAAAAAACAAAAAAAAACCACCCGGCTTCGGTTTCAGCTTCAGTTTTTCTTCCTTGAACTTGAACTTCTTTGACATTTGCTGGGTTATTTACGTGCCGGGTGCCAACAGAGCAGAGCGGACAAATATCTGCAGAAATCTTCCGCCTCATCACCCCCGTCATTTTTTTTTTTTTTTTTTTAACCGTTTCCACAAGTGTGTGTGTGTGTGTGTGTGTGTGTGTGTGTGTTTGAGCCGCTGCCACTCGCGGCCGTTCGTTTCCCCACACCAAGGGGAGCGAAGGGCAGCAGGACGATGATGACAGGAGCAGCGGCTTTTATTTTCTACTGCAGCTTTCCACGCAAAGCCCCTCCCCAGCCGCACAAACACCCCACCCAGCCCGGGTCAACATTTACACGGGTGGAATTAGCCTTCCCACCGGTGCACACAAACACACACGCCTGGCTTTAAGTCGGGCGCAGGCTAAAGCCGGTCCCGGAGCTGAAGGATGAAAAAAAAATCCCTTCAGGATCACATCAGCTTCCCTTCAGGGCCTAAATTTGGAGCGTGTGTGTGTGCGCCGTCGTCCGTCCGTCCTTGAGAGGACCGGCGCGAGACATTTGTGGAAAGTGAGGACAGGTCCGGATCCGGTTCAGGTGGTTTAGTTCGGGATGGATGGGTGGACGTACGAACGTGGTGAAGACCTTCAAAGGGCAGTTTGTGGGTTCAGGTCTGGTTTTAGGGCTCAGCTCGTCAGAGTCAAAGGTCCGGGAACGTGAAGCGTCCACAAGGATCGTCACAGGGAGGAAGGGTTCCCAAGTTAGGACGAGTTTAAAGCAGTTAGGACGAGTTTTAAAACAGTTAGGGCGAGTTTAAACAGTTAGGACG